TATTAGTATTATCAAACACATATAACAAGTAAATTAATAAAAAAAAATTACCTTCTTTGCTACTGCATCTATTATTAGTTCTATTGCAGTTAAAATACCCAATGAATCAATACTAACTATAACATGCTGTTGCTATTTGATTAAAAACTTCAAAAACACTAACAACTACAAAAAAAGCTGAATAACACAGTGAACCTGAGTTATTAAAAAGCTAAATAATATGTGAAAATGAGCTATTAAAAAGGTGAATAGTAAAAGTGAAACTAGAGAAAATCATTGAGTAATGTTCAAATTTATCAAAAGACTTTTTAAATTAAGTTTGGTTTTGTTAATAACAAAAGTGTTTTTCATTAGAAAGTTCAGTTTAACACATTTAACCAATTGAGCCTTTTCTAAATTTTCTGAGAAAAAATATTATCTTCCCAGATAGTTCAGGAAAAAAACTATATTTAATGATATCCATTTGGTTTTGGTGGTGTATTAGAGGTGTGATTTGGTTTCAGTGGTGTATTTTATAGTGTTTCTGTCAAATTGTTTTGTATGGCTGTCAACTTGTTTCTGTCAATTTGTTTTGTCAATTTTACTTTTTGTGATGCATTTAATGACATGATTTGGTTTTATATGATGTATTACCAAAAAAACTAAACTAAAATAACTTATACTTCATTTGATTTAGTCATTTTCACAAAATTTTAAAAACTTAAGGATACACTCTTTTCCCTCCACCCTCCCTCACCATACACACACCTCGCAAACATACTTCCCCACCACACACACACCTTAGGTGCAAACACACTCCACTACCACACACACCTTAGATGCAAACACACTCCTTCACCATACACGCACAAAATACTCTAAAAGTAAAAGCTTAAATTCAAAAGTAAAAATTAAAAAACCTAAAAAACATGTCTTAATAATTTATATATATATATATATATATATATATATATATATATATATATATATATATATATATATATATATATATATATATATATATATATATATATATATATATATATATATATATTGTTATTTACTTTATAATGAAGCAGCTTTGTCAAATGTGACTTATTATACTGATAAATGTTAACCAACAATTGATAGTTTTTTTTAGGCCTTGATAATAAGTATTATTTAATAAACTGATAAATGTTAACCAATCATCGGGAGTATCTCTTTTAGAACTTGATAATAAGTATTACATTTTGTTGTGCAAAATTAAACTTTTTTTATTATTAAAGTGAATTATTTTTAATGAAATCAGTTCAGGCAACTTTTAACCAAATAAATAACTTGTCAAAAACTTAATAAAAAAATAAACTTAAGCAATTTCTAACATTTATGTTACTTTTTATTGCATTCAACACCCAAGCCATGCTCAAGGGGACACAAAAGTTAAAGAGGCATTTTTTTAGAACTATTGTTACAAACTTCTGTAAACTCCAAAATACAAATCTTATAAACCCACTAACTACTAGTCGATAGTCACTTGTTGTTGATGATTAATAGCTGTTGATGGTCACTTGTTGTTGATGATTAATAGCTCCTGATGGTCACTAGCTGTTGATGATTAATAGCTCTTGATGGTCACTAGCTGTTAATGATTAATAGCTGTTAATGGTCACTAGCTCTTAATGATCACTAAGGGTATTAAAATCTGTTCTACTACATTGGCTGTATTAATATCTGATCTGATGGTTCACTGGAAAATATGGGCATATGGCTTTTCATTTAACAAGAAATTTTTTTTTTAAAAATACCTTAAGAGCTTAGATTGATCAAAAACTGAAAATAACTTTTGAACATTATTATTCATATAAAATTGCATCTATCTTTAATATATTTTTATATTAATTTTACAAAAAAATTGAAAAATCCATAACACCCTATTTACACCCATAATTATTCTCATATTACAATATAACCATAAAGCACTTATCCATTAAAACAATTTTTTAATTAAAACCTGTTTATATTTAAAATATACTATTTAGATGCCTTGTCTAATATCAGGAGAAATATGATAAAAAACAGTGAGGCAATAAAAGTGTAGCAAAAGTATACCTTTAATATCATTGGTAGAAAAGGATGTGACAATAATATGAAGTCTAATAACAAGTGTAGGTATATAATAATGCAGTGCTAAAAACAGGGATAGGTAGTAGTATGAAAATAACATGATACCTAACATATATAAAGGGATAGGTAAGATAATAATGACTCTTGATATCAGAAGTTAGTAGAAGTATGAAAACAATGTTGTCTAATCAGAGGAAGAAGTACGAAGTTGGTTGAAGTATGAAAATAATGATATCTAATAAGAGGAAGAAGTATGAAATTGGTAGAAATATGAGAATAATCTAATCAGAGGAAGATTGAGGTATGATACAAATAAGTAGGTGAAGTTTTGTTGCTAAATAATGCTTTTGTTTATATTACTAACAAACATCTGACAGATATTTTAAATAAAAAGTTATTGTTAAATTTAGGATCAGTACATATGAAAAAATAAAACTTTACACAATATGCATAATATATTTCATAATAAAATACTTAAATGCCCCCCTCCTCCCATCACCAATCAAAACTAAACGTTTCTTCATGGATTTATATTACAACTTTGAAGTTCAAATATATAAACCTTTTTTTGGGGTTGAAATTATGTCCTTGTTTTCGTTATAACCATCATATTGATTACGGTTGTGATGGTGCTTCTGGTGGTTGTGATGATGGAAATACCCATCTTCAGCCATCTCTTTATCTAGAGCTTCATCAAGTCTTTTATCTTCCTCAGAATCAATTTCTTCATCTTGCTTCTCTAGATACTTTAAATAAAAAATTTTGAAGATTAAAAATGATAATAACTATTTTAAATTTTTAAATTTTTTTGACAAAATATTAAATTTACCAAAGCATGAGAATGACGTCGTTTTTTATCAAGAGCTGTCATGTGATTTTCATATTCTGTGATTTCTTTATCATTGTGAAGATTTTCAGGGTTGTGCCAATATCCACTATAAATTAAAGTAAACAGTTGCAATAAAAGTTTCATCAAAAATAATATTTTTTTATATGAAGATTAAATAATTTTAAAATATTTTTACTTGGCCCGTTTTACTCCTATTTCACTTTTATTTTTTAAAGTTTTTTGAAGCACATTAAGTGGTGACTTTTTTTTTTTATACATGTATGTATAGTCATTTTCTTCCTCCCGATTTAAGTAATTATCTAACTGATTTTCTTCGCGGTTCTCTAACTCATGATCTCTATCTTCTTGTTGCTTAAAATAAAATTATGAGTATTATGTTGTATCACAACCTTTACAAATATATAAAAAAAATTTATTATATTATGTTGTATCACAACCTTTACAAATATATAAAAAAAAATTATTATATTATGTTGTATCACAATCTTTACAAATATATAAAAAAAAATTATTATATTATGTTGTATCACAACCTTTACAAATATATAAAAAAAATTTATTATATTAAAAAAAATTGTTTAAAAAAGAAAACCATAAAAAATATATGTATATTAAGATTTACATATGTTGTACTGTAGTAGAGCAATTTTGTAAAAATTTTGTAAAAATCTTATTTATATACAACCACGTAAAAGTTGTGTATATACACACATAAATAAATATATATAAATATATATATATATATATATATAAATATATATATTAGGGTGGTCCATAAAACAACTTTTTTGAGAAAAACCTGCTGACACCCCCTAAATGTGTTTTATCTAATGCAAAAACACTAGGTTTAAAATTTTTTTGAACAAAAATTATTTTTAGGGGTAGCTCAAAGCCCTCAAAAATTTGACGGGTCCCTAATATTTTGAAAAAAAAACTTTTTCTAAAGTATGTCAACCTGGTACTCAAAATAAGCAAAATTATATAAAAAATTTAAAAATGATAATAATTTTTTATAAAAATAATTTTTTTAGGTATAAATGCATAAAAACTATTGTTTTTAAGCTGAAAATAAAAAAAGTCAATATTTTCAGGTTTTTTGAGAATAATTTTTTTTAGGCATGTTTTTTATGTAAAATGATTATTATTTTTGAAGTTTTTATACAATATCGCTTCTTTTGAGTACCAGGTTGACATACTTTAGAAAAAGTTTTTTTTTCAAAATATTAGGGACCCGTCAAATTTTTGAGGGCCTTGAGCTACCCCTAAAAATAATTTTTGTTCAAAAAAATTTTAAACCTAGTGTTTTTGCATTAGATAAAACACATTTAGGGGGTGTCAGCAGGTTTTTCTCAAAAAAGTTGTTTTATGGACCACCCTAATATATATATATACACACACACACACACACACACACACACACACACACACACACACACACACACACACACACACACACAACCATGCAAAAGTTATTATATATACACAACCATGCGTGATTCAGAAACCATGCCAAATCAAAAAATATAGAAAAAAGAAATAAATGAGATAAATAATAAATTTTTGGATAGGTAAGTCTACAAATATATCGAAAAAAACAAAACAAAACAAAATTTGAGAGAAGAAAGACAGGAATTGGTATAATTTAATATTAAATATATTTAGGTTATACATTTATTTTTTGATGACTTTGCTTTAAATTTTATCTTAACTCTATGCTAATTTGTACATTTGTATCTCTCCATATGCTCTTTTTTATCTAATGATTCCATATAAGACTTTCTCATTTTTAACTTTTTAAAGTTGGAACCATTTTGGTTGTTCTTTGTTAAACTTTTTGTAAATGAATAAATACTCTATTATTGTTAAAAAATTGAAACAGTTTTGCAGAATAGTCATAGCAAGTGTATATAGATTTTTTTATCTTTGTAAATTATAGTGTGTTTATAAATTTTTCATTTCAACTATTTCTTTTCACCTTGTGATACATGTGTTGTTTTTTTTTTCACCTTGTCATACATGTGTTGTTATCTATAAATGTTTCAACCAGACCAATATCCTTGCCAAGTTTATATTATGTAAAGCGCATATAAAAGATAAGTCATCGGAGAAGATGGACTAATTTAAATGACAACTAAAAAAGTCATCTTTAGAATGCATTATAATTGTTAGTGTGTTTATAAATAGTATAACAATAATGATAATAAGTATAATAACCTCTACAACTAACTATTATTTTGTATACTTTTATTTTTTTATAGTCATCTTGTTAGTTTTTATATTTCTATATTTAATAATCATCTTGTGTACTTTTATATTTAGCTATCATTGTGTGTACTTTTATGTTTCTATATTTAACTATCATCTTGTGCACTTATAATAGTATAGTAATCTAAAAAAATATCCAGTTCCAGAAAAAGCAACTACAAGAAGCAGATTTACTAAAACATTTAAATCACACATTTTTTTATGCTATTTTGAAGAACAAGTCTTATAAAACAGGCAGGAATGCCTGTTTTATATTACTTGATCTGCAAAAAAAAAATTAGAATTAAACAAAACTTAAGTACAGATATACTACAAAGTCAAATATCCAGAGAGAAGTAAAGCTAATGGATTAGAATATAACATGTATAAATTCTTTATAAACTTTTTAGGTCTTAATAAATTTTGTGTATTTCACGGTATATTAAACAGTTATAGTTATAGCAGCTATATTTGTTTAAAAGAAATACATTGTAAAAAAAAATATTTTTATTTTTGTTGTTTTCCATTAACCTTTAATTTATTGAGTATTTTTGGATTGTTTGGTTTGGAAAGAAAGAGACTTTGAATTAAAGAACCTTGATGATAAAATAAGAGGAAAAATGGTTTTAGATTGAAGAACCTTAATGATAAAATTGAAGGAAAGAAGTTTTAGATTAAAGAATCTTGATCATAAAATTTGCTTACTGTTCTCAGACCATTTTCTTTATGTTTAATTCCATATAATATTTTACATTTATATCAAAATGTTACAGATTTTATTTAAAAAAAAAATGAAACATTATTTTAATAATATGAATATGAAAAATGATGTTGTAATGTATATATATATATATATATATATATATATATATATATATATATATATATATATATATATATATATATATATATATATATATATATATATATAATATAATATATATATATATATATATATATATATATATATATATATATATATATATATATATATATATATATATATATATATATATATATATATATATATATATATATATATATATTGGGTAAAATTATTTTACATAAAACACTTTTATGAAGTTTCTAACAAAGATACAATTTCATATATTAACAGATCATTGATATGAAAAAGAAGATTTGGCAACAAAATTTAGAAAGTAGATGATTAAATACTATGATTTAAAAAAAAAATGAAACAAAGTTTCATTTTTCTTTAAATTATAAAAAATCATTCTTTAAAAAATGAAACAAGTCAAACATTTCACAAGTATAAACATGAAGTGTTTTCAACAGGTTGTAAACCTTTTAAAATTTTTTGTATTTTGGGATGGTCTACTAAATGAAATGTTAGGAAATCATTCTATTCAGCAAGGAACTTTTAGAAGCTATATTATAGAATATTTTAGAGGAGTTTAAAATATTCTATAATATTGCTTCAAAAACTTTTGTAGAATGTTTTAATTTACTAGATAGTTTATATGCTATTGTATGCCAGATTGTATGTTTGTATGTCACTGTTTTAATCTAACCAATAATATAGATAATCAATTAGATGTTTCACTTGTAAATTATTTTTTTCTTTATAGAACTTACTTTTGAACTATAACTTGTTATTATAACTTTTTTATTTTGTAATTTATAACATACTTAGGATTTTTACTTTGTAAATTATAATATTTAAGTATTTGCAATCAGAAAGTTTGGTGTCTATAGCAACAGCAATAGTTTCAATTATTTTGTTATGGCAATTCAAAGTTGTAAGATCAACCCAAATCTGACCAATTGTATTGGATTTTAAGCCGCTTATTGAAAGCAGTGGGTGATTAAAAACACATTGATTAAGCTTGGTGTTTGGGTGTTAAATGAACCAAATGCTTATCAGCTACTTTCTATTTGTTTTTTGTTTTTTAAGCCACCTTATGATCTGAAACATGAAACTGGAAGAGCTGCTGCTGTATGGAGAAACAAGTTGAGCATAGTAACACAAATTTCTTGTTTACAAAGCAAATGATCAACTATATAGCGATCACAACCTACCAATACATAGTTACTGCATTTTAACTGGTTTTCACAATTAACTGACTTGACCATGTCATCAATGGAAATGAGAAGTGGGTACCACTTCTCATTTCCACCAAAACCAACTCCAAAAATCAACACACAAAAAAAAAGATATTGCTATTGGTTTAGTGCAATGCCTACTGTACCAAAAACTGCTTCTGCTAAACAACAGAACTATGGCAGCATCCTACTAAGCTCAATTTGATAAAATTCAAGCAAAACTGCTGAAAAAACACCTGTGATATGACACAATTTACTTCCTCCATAACAATGTCTGCCCATGCATTGCAAAATCAACACAACAAAAATTATTGGAGCTTGGCTCAGAAGTTTTGTAACATTTACCCAACACTCACTTGGTGCCAAAAAAATTTGTTTCGATCACTAAGCACTAGCTTAGGAAATGAAAGATTTGACAATAAGAAGGTACTCTGACAGCAACTTACTCACTTTAACTAAAAATCTAAAAAGTTCTATGCCAACAGAATTGATTCTTTACCTATGCATTAACAAAAGGTAACAGATAATTCTGGTGCATATATAGACAAGAGGTAATAGATAATTCTGGTGCATTGTTGAATATTAGTAATGGAATTAAAAGTAAATCTTATATCAATTTTAAGAAATGTTAAATAAAGTAAATCACTTGAAGTTCTTCATCTTCCTTTTGTTCTCGTCTTTCATATTCTTTATTCCAATCTACATCATCATCAACATCATCAGATGAGTATTTTTTCCTAAATAACAATTAAGCATAATTTAATGTATGTAGTAAGAATACTTATACATTTAAAAAAAAAACATATAGCTCTATTACTTCTTCTTATTATTTTCTTTTTAATTTTTAATCAATAAGAAATAAAAATGTTAATATTATTAAAAAAAAAAAACAGTGCATAGCATAAGAAAACTTAACACAAAACATCATATTAACAATAGACTAATTTGTCTATTAACAATAGACTTTTTGTCTATTGTTAATAGACAAAAAGCACATTATGTCACAATAAAACTCTTAATTTATGATTCCAATTAAATCTATAAAAAAGCTACCAGATGGCAAAAATTACTTACATAACATATAAAATTTGACTTTAACATAGTTGAAACATGAAACACAACAAGAGTAGAAAAAACAACAACAAATGGAAAAGTGAATCAAAGTGGTTAATATTAAATCATTAAACAACTAACAATTGAAAACTTTACTTTGGATCATATTCTTCATTTTTTGAAGCAGTTCGAGTCTTCTTAGCTGGTTTTTCTGTCTCACTATAAACAAAATATTTTAATACACAATAGAATATGTAAAAATAAAACACATTTATAAAAAAATACAAAACTATAAGAATTTACAAAAACTTGATAAAAAAAAAAAAAACATAAAAAAAAACTTATTGCAATTAAGTGAAATTTTAAACTTTTTTTTCTGAAAATATAAAAAAAAAGAAGCATTAAATAAAAAACAACAAAAGAAATAAAATAATAAAAATAATGAAATTAAAGAAGAAAAAAAAAAAAGAAGTAAATTGAAGTGCTTTTCATAAACATTTAAAAAAGTATTAAAAAAACCTGCTGACTTGACCATGAACTTGAAAATATTTTCTATCTAATGTTGCATTCTTTAGATTGTTGTTCATAAAACTCTTTTTTACTTCCTTCTTATATTTATTACCAAAGTTCTTAATAACCTAAGACAGAAAAAAACACTTTTTAAAGCACTTTTGAAGCAGAAAACAAAATCAAACTGATACTAAAAAGTAAAGACAGATTAAGGGGTGCCTCTATGATTTTAAACTTTGACACGCTCTTTCAATCTTTTCTACATCTGCAGATATAGAATATGTAAACCTGCAAATATAGAAAAACTGCAAATATAAAAACCTTTGGAAAGTGTTTACAAAAAATTTACACATAGATGATTATCTTTCACTTAAAATCATAAGATTTGGTAAAGTATTTTTTATATTTCATCAGAATGTTGCACCCTATTGAAGTATTTCATATGTATGTTGCACCTAATTAAAGTATACTATGTAGCACCCTATCACAGTGCTTGTTATTAAGTCAATAACTAACCTACCAGAGCCTAATTTTGACCAGGCCATTAACCTACCTAACCTCTGCAGTAGCCAAGTGATTGCAATTTCATTGTTTTGAATCTTTTAAAATTTACAAATCAAGATTGAGAACAGCAAGATAAGTAACTTTAATGTAATTTGGATGATTTACACAGAAAACAAAATATCTAATACGCCAAAAACTCCTATATATATTTTGAGCCTAACCTTTGTAACAAAAAAATCACTAATTCTGAAAATTTGATTTTTTTTCAAAAGTTTAAGTTTTATGTTAAAGTTTTTACGAAGTTTTTTTAAAATTGAATTTTTCTTTACAAGATATTTATCACTCCCTTTTATTATCAAAAATGATAACTTTCACTCCCTTTTATTATCAAAAATGAGTGAAGGCTTAAAACTTACAGTTTTCTAGAATGCAGTTATCCAAGTAACATACGGACATCAACCTGATGCTGAGTAAAGATGTCTTGCCAACATCTTACAAAATAAATTAACAAATAATCAATCAACAAACCACACAGCTTGATGTCTGCAAATGTACCATAAAATGACTTGCTCTTTAATTGCTTACTACATGTCGGTCTAATGACACTAAACGCATGTATATGTTTACACATTTCATATATTTAACTGAAACTGAAGAATAATCCTCAATTGTGTCATAAACAATTAAAAAAATTTTTTTTTTATTATTTACAATCAATTTTAAAGAGATTTATGTAAATATAATACTAGAAGATCAAAGTTTGATGCAAATTTACTGACGCTTAAGAACGACATTTAAAATGATATATTATCTGGAGTTCTGTAATGTCACTTGGACATTATTTAGGTTAAATTTTTTTAATTTGTTTGTCTTTTAAGTAAAAATCTGCCTTTTCTCAAAGTTTTATACTTTTTATTTACTTTTTTAATAATGCTCATAGTTTTAAAAATAAAAAATGAAAAACCTTAAAAAACCTTCACATTTAAAACAAATGCAACCCAATCGCTAAAAACCTTCCAATAAATATAAAAATATTTCATTTTGGATGATCAACTTTTTTTTTACTTTAAGCTGCATTTGCTTGTAACAATCAATTCTACATTAAACATTAAAGCTTGTTGAGAAATTGTAAAACATATTTTGAATTCTGTGTTCAAGTCAAATATACTTGTTTGTATAACTTTTTTAACTTAAGGTACTATTAAAAATGGTAATGAATCAACATCTTTACACAAAAGAAACGAAAAAGTATAAAAAAGTCCCATTTTTTATGCTTTTTTGTTTGTTTGTTTATTCTCCTAGGAGTTGCAACGCATGCAAACTTTATAACAAATGAAACAAAAAATACATGCAATATGTATGTATTTTTTATGCATATTGCATGCATTTCTGCATTTTTTTCTTCCATTGCTGCAAGATTTTCATGCATTGAATATCATAAAAGAATGAACAAAATTACACTCCAAGTATAAAAAATGTTACTTTTTTCTATGCTTTATAAAATATGAACCCAACAAAAATAGAGCAAAATCAAATTGAAGCCAATCAATTGCAAACATCGTACTGATGTCATTTTCATGTTTTTGTTTATGTTCTGCCAATGAGCAGCTGACTATCAAATATAAATCAAAATTACATTTCTAGCCAATCAAATGTGAAGTTGCACTGATGTTAATGTAATGTCTTTGTTTACATCTTGCTGATCCTCAAAAATACATCTAAACTACAACTGTAGTTTTGATGTATTTTTGTACATCAAAACTACAGTTGTAGTATAGATGTAATTGATCTGACATCAAGCTGATGTCAGATCGATGCTAGTGTGTCAATTTATCAAATAAATAAATATTACACAGCAAAAATAAATATATACTTTTAAAATTTATATGAAAACGTCTATACTTGGCTTTAAAGCAGTTAGGTACAGTTGAAACTTAATGAAAAAGATTTTAGCATTAGAAAATAGATTAGCTATAAATAGTAAATTCTGCCTGTTTGACTTGTAACTTGACTACTAGACCAGGACGCAAAGTTTTGTTGTTTTTTTTTTGGTCTGTTATTTCTCTTATTAACAATTTGTATTTGATCATTAATAAAAAAAAAAAGTTAATTTTTTTATAGTCTTTATTTTATTATTATTCTAATTATAAATTTTATTAATACAAAATTTTTAAACTTTAATAACTCAGTATCTAGCAATTAAGATATTTACCATAAAACCGAGTCATTAAAGGCTAAACTAAAATAAGTTAAATAAACTGGACAATTTCTATACTGTATGCTCAAACAAAAACCCTATATATATTTAAACTACTCTATGATATAGAGCAATCTGCATGTAGTTCATACTATAAAGGAATGAGGGGAACTTGGTCTCTAATCAAGATAGCAGAATAGTTAGTATTACAATTTTAATAGTAGTCATAACAACAAGTCAACAGATAATACTATAAAAAATTTATATGTTAATTTTCTTGTAAAATCTCGTAAGACATTATTATGACTTGTATATCATTTAAATAAAGCACATTTTGTAGTTTCTAATTGAAGAACAATTATAAAACAGCTTTAATGCCCTCCTGTAAAAATTCTCTTTAATAAAATTTAAAAAAGCTATTAGCTGTTATTTTGTTGAAATACTAAAATTCGAAAAAAAAAAAATCTGTATACTAAATATTAGAAAAACTTTACTAGTAAATAGTTGATTAACATGCAATGAAACACAGTTAAACTCAAAATCACAATTCAAAATCTTGGTGAAGACTTGATCAATAAAAATTGCAATCTTTATAAAACGGAGCACAGGTAAAATAAGACATGCCAACCTGAAAAACAGTAACATGAAAAAAAAATACGAAATGCTACAAAATCTTAGCATGCATGTATTGTTGCATGCAAACATCTTACTTTAGATAAACTATATCTAATTCAAGAGAACTATGATACTCACAGTAAACACAATGATACACACAGTAAACACAATGGTACTCACAGTAAATATAATGGTACTTACAGTAAACACTATGGTACACACAGTAAACACTATGGTGCACACAACAAAAATTTATTCTTAATTCAAAAAACATTCAACTGAGAATTAATTTTAAAAGAACTGATACATTTGCTACACTGAATGGTTGAATGATTTTAATGAGACTAAATTATTAACCTAAAATGATGATAATGATGATGATGATGATGATGATGATGATGATGATGATGATGATGATGATGATGATGATGATGATGATGATGATGATGACAATGATAAACTTTTTCAAAAATCAATCTTTGATTCATCACAGTTTTAAAACTTTTATTTTTTTGCTAAGAAAGTTAGAACTAGTAGCTATGTTGATATCTATGTTGCAGCTATGTTAGCAGCCTTTACATAAAATTCAATATCTATAAATGTGAACTGCTGTAGAAAAAAATCCAGCTTTTAGATAAGTTTCACTATTCGTAAACTTGAATTGTTCTAACAGAAGATTGATTTTACAAAATTTTAATTTCCATAAAAACATGATTATAAATTTTTAGATAAAGAGAGATATCTTAAAATTAGTTTTTTATTTTTATCAAAATTCTCTAAAACCAAAGCTTTTTAAACTAATTAACAACTAGCAGCTTCTTTCTGAATCAAAAGACATTCTTATTTTTAACTATTGTATCTAACTAACCCAACTCTCTTATTTAATTATAAACAATTTGAAAAACACCTTGCTGGTATTTAAGCTATAAAACTTTAAAACTTATAAAACACTGTGATGACATTCAAGGTACTTATAAAAATTATGCAATTAAAATTTTCATCAAAAAATTCTGTATTGCTATTTTTTTTTCCTGCCATCAAGAACTTATATATCTTTCACATGTTTCTCACTTTTTTTTTTAATTATTGTTACAATTTCTCTATGAAACTACAACATTACCACTTGTTACTATGAATTATATTAGGCTAGCATAACTATTAACTAACTAAAATTTTAACTGACTAAATATAACCCTTAAAAACTGTTTTCCCAATTTTGTATTTCTTATAATGTGTATTCAATTCCTGATAATGTATACCCTGATTTCTTATGTGTTACAAATTTACAATGTAAACCCTGATTATTATAATTTTTAACTAAAATCTTAATATAACTTGCTATAACCTATAATATAATAAGTATATTATAACTATAAATAATTATATTAAATAATATTATAATTACAAATTATATAACATTAGGATATATATATGACACTAAGATATGTTACAAATTATATAAGATTAGGATATGTTATAACAATAAGTTATGTTATAACTTATATGACACTAAGATATGTTACAAATTATATAACACTAGGATATGTTATAACAATAAGATATGTTATAACTTATATGACACTAAGATATGTTACAAATTATATAACATTAGGATATGTTATAACAATAACATATGTTATAACTTATATGACACTAACTTATGTTACAAATTACATAACATTAGGATATGTTATAACAATAAGATATGTTATAACTTATACGACACTAAGATATGTTACAAATTATATAACACTAGGATATGTTATAACAATAAGATATGTTATAACTTATATAACAAAAAGATATGTTATAATTTATATACAATAAGATATCTGATAACTTATAATAACAAAAAGATGTGTAATTAATAATATACCAATAAGATGTTATAACTTAAAAAACATGTTACACCAATTAGAATACAGTTTAGAATAAAAAAAAACTTTAGTTAAAAAATTAAACTCTTAATTGCACTAGTAAAAATTAAATAAAATATATAGAAAATAAATAAAAAATAAAAAAAATTTTCTTCACATTTTTTAACTTTATTTGTATATATTATTTAAAATTTGTTTATTACATTTTCCAAAATGTTTAAAATAAAATGGAACAAAAAACAAAAAAAAACTAGACAAATTTAAAATAAATTAACCTCTACAAAAGGTTTTGAACTTCTTTTCTTTGCTTCAATTGAACTTTGTTGTACATGATTTTGTATTTTGCTGAACCTAAACAAAAAGTCGAAAGTTGCAGAACTGTTGAACAGCTATATTAACATGTTGTGAATTGTATAGTCATGTTAATATTTCATATAGGTATGAAAATTAGGAATTTGCTCAGGAAATAAAAAAATTATTTTTAATTTTTCAGTGTTTCCATGTGTATGTACTGAAAAAACTGAAACATAAAATTTTTGCTTACTGAGCAAATGCTTAGCAAAATCGTTATTTTTATTTAAAACAAATACCTTTTATTTGCTTTGTTTTTCTCTTGGCTTTTGTCTGTAAGTAACTGTACAAAATTTGTGGCATTCATTTTATGCTGTTGACTATTTTCATAAAGAGGTGTATATGAATTTTCTGGCAATAAGACTTCAGCAAAATTTACATCTGGAATAAAACCAGCTGAACTAACCGACATTTGTAAAGTTTTAGGTAGCAATGTCAGTGATGACCTTTGAAAATTGTCATTAGATTTATACAATATGTCTGCATGTTCCTTTGAATTCAAGATAGGTAAATCTGGAGTTTGCTTGTTTACTGAGAAAACACTAATGTCATTCAATAAAGGTGATAAAATTGGTGTGGTTAACTTACCAGTGTTTTGAGGAATTTGCATCGAATGGTCAAGTCCAACTCCTAAGTTATAAGAAGAAGGA